AAACGTGTGAGTTTTTTTAAAAATGCTCGCGCAATGTGGGATAACAGTACATTTGGATCATCTCAATTGCCGACCTAAACATGAAAATGATTAAAAGCTGACATTTTTAAAGGTGAATATGCCAACAAATGAAACCCTTCTTCCGCTTGTTTTCTTCTCTTGGTGCCCTTCCATCACGACATTCCAATTCGCATGTTCCCGTTTGATAGGATAGGTAAAAACAATTTCCTTGATCTAACTAGATATGGTAATCAGCAAAATACAAATGCAACGTATATGTAACGATACGTTCCATTTTTTAACTGTAACAGGGACGAGTTCCTTTTTCATATGCAAAGGGAGTAACGGGAAAGCGTTCTAAAAATTAGAAGTAACGAGGAATAATCTTCTGCTTTTTATATTGAGGAACGTGTACAACACTGCTTCTTGGTAACTTTGTCTTTGTGTCTTACCAAGATGGTTGTGTAACTGGAGCACGTTTGGTCAGAGGTCGGCATTTTAGGGCGCCCTCACTCACCCTCACCCTCACAGCCATACTCACCTAGGCCCCTCACTCACCCTCACCTTCACAGCTACACCCACCTCAGCCCCTCACTCACTCACATCCTCAGAGTCACACACACCTTCAGCCCTTCACCCACCCTCACTGAATCTCACGGCCCTCACACCCCTCACGCACTCACCGCCCTCACGCACTCATGGCCATCACGCCCCTCACCGCCCTCACGCACTCATACCCCTCACGCCCTCATGGCCCTCAGATCACTCATCGCCCTCACTCACTCATGGCCCTCACGCCCCTCACGCACTCACCGCCTTCACGGCGTTTACGCACTCATACCCCTCATGTTCCTCACGCACTCATGGCCCTCACGCCACTCAGGCCCGCTTCAGATGGGGTGATTAAGCCAAGAAACTTTACGTCGCAGCACCAGCAACACGGGCCGCCCGCGTTAACCCGCAGCAACCAATTGCTGCAATTTGCCATCACCATCATTAAATTTTTTTGCGCTATTTATATACACAATTACGCGCTATAAACGTGTTTTTATGCATTTAAATATTGTTGAGAATAATAATGCATCTTTCTGAAACAGTTTATTTAAAAAACGATCAATTTCAAACCAGAACCAAGTCTTTTGTTGTCATCATCACCTGCCCGAGGTATCACGTGAAAATATCGCGTCTCTGATTGGATGCAGCCGCTTCAAACGTCTTTGAATCGCTCCGAGTGGCTCGCTTCTTTCAAGCCGGACCCGATCTCAGCAATTCGTGTCGATCTGGGGAAAGCGAGGAAACAACCCGCCAGCAACACCAAAATTGCTGAAAAAGTTGCTCCGTCTGAAGGGGGCCTCACGCACTGACCGCCCTCACACTCCTCACGCTCTCATGGCCCTCACGTCCCTCACGCACACACCGCCCTCACGGCCCTCACACCCCTCATGCCACTCACACACTCACCGCCCTCACGCACTGGTGGCCCTCACACCAATCACGCACTCACCGCCCTCACGGCCCTCATACCCTCACGCACTCATGGCCTTCACGCCACTCACCACCCTGACGCCCCTCACGCACTCATGGCCCTCACACCCCTCACGCCCCTCACGCACTCACCGCACTCACGGCCCTCACGCACTCACGCTCCTCACAGCCCTCACGGCCCTCACTCACCCTCACATTCATGAATTTTCCTGGTTCAGAAACTCCCTCACCCTCACCTCACCTGTGATGATGAGGGCGAGTGAGGGTGAGTAAGGGTGAGTGAAAGCCCACATGAGAGGTTTGCCGAGATATGCGTTTGGTACAGGTATTTCGTACAGTGGATCATATGGTGTCTGACTGTAGCTATCAAGAAGTAGCTATCCTCACGGAGCCTCTTGTTCACCTATACCATTTCGTTTGTCCAATGTAGCTACTGCCGAACGAGAGGTTCACCTTGTATACAACTTCCGAAGTACATGGAAACAACCCAGAGCCATTGAATGTTCTCAGAGTACCGAAACTCGCAAGCTTCGCCTCAGAACCGAGTCACGGTCACGGTGGAAGAAACATTTAGGTGATGACTCTCTGTCTGACGCGGCGGTCACATTATGTTCGGCGCACTGAGTGCTTCACTCGCGAGGGATAGATGGCGCCCAAGTATGGGGTCGTTCCTAAACCGACCGATCCGGATGTTTCTCCCAGCGCTGGTCCCGCATTCCTTCGCTCACCGCTTCTTGCCTTACCCATGGTGGAAGAAACACATTTAGGTTCTGACTCTCTGTCCGACGCGGCGGCCACATTATACCCGGCGCACCGAGCGCGCTTCACTCGCACGGGGATAGATGGCGCACAAGGCTCGAGGCTTGCAGAGCCGTATATTGGGAGAGTTTGGCCAGTGGGTGTGGCGACGAAGGGGCCGAAGAGGAGAAAAGTAAATGAAAGGGAGGAGAGCGCCGAAGGAGCGAGAGAGAAAGAAGGGCGCAGAGAGGAGACGACCGCCATTTCTGAGCAACGCTGTCGGAGACTGGTCGGAGAAGAGCACTGCTGAGGCTACGCGTCGTCTGCTACGTGCCGACTTCTTTTTCGCTTGAATAAAAGTTAGTGGCCATACGCCGAAAAATCTTCATTTATTAGCTTTTTAACCCACCGAGGTATAACAGAATGTCATTTTCTTGCCAGAGCCAGCGATACAAAAGGCAATAATCGAGATTTAGATGTCGATCCCACGCATTCCGCCGGGAGAATGATCGAAGATGGCGGCCCTTCCCGCTCAGGTGGGAGCAGCCGGGAGTTCACGCGCACGCGCTCATGCCTCTCGCTCTACGCCGCGTGCTGCTTGGCTCACTTGGGAGGAGAGTGTTACGGCGGCGAGATCATAGACTGACCAAACTCTCCCCATATACGGCTCTGGAGGCTTGGTGGGCGATCCACCTGAAACCCTCGCCGAGAAGGCATCGCTGGAGACGCTGCTGCGAGACTCGTGCCAACAGATCGACTACTCGGACAAGGTGCGGGAGGCTCTGCATAGGGTGAACGAGCAAATGGTAGGCAAGATAACTTCAATGCACAACACCATTCATGGTTTTCAAGATGTTTCCCGAAGTAGCGCCACTGCTTCTTTCGAAGCAAACAAGGTGGCGGAGAAGAGGAAGGCGTTGGTAGAGGAGATGGAACATACCTGCTGGAGGAAGAGGAGAAACACAGGCAGGCCCCGGAGAAAATGTGGCAGGAGTTTGAGGAGAAGCTACACTTGTCGAACGAAGCACTTCTTGTTGAGCAGGAACGTGCGGTGAAGGTGATAGAGAACAAAGCGGCGCTGACACTGTACAAGCGTGTGCTGCCCTCTTTGAAGGAGGAGGTGCTTCAGTTGAAGGCCGAGGCGCAGGAACGCGTGGACATGCTACAGAAAGCCACCGAGGAGTCCAAAGATGACCTGGAGCAGTGCAAAGCAAGGCAAGGTTCGGACGACTGCACCAAGCTCAAGTCGCAACTGGACGATGCCGTAAAGGATCTCACCATTCATCTAAAGATGTCAAACAACCAGAAGTGCGATTTCGAGGAGAAAGCAAAGAAGCTGAAGCAAGAGCTAAAGGACAACATCGAGGAGCGCAAAATGCAGGACAAGAGAGGATTGTCTATGGTGAAGGAGTTGAAGAGGCAGTTTTAGACGGAAAGAAGACGGGCAGACAAGCTTTAGGAGAGACTTCAGGAAATTCTCAACGGCACGAGTCTCGGAAGGTCTGATCAGCTGTTTCAGCCCATTAGCTACGAGGAGCGCCAGCGAGGAGACTCCAGCAGCTACAATACTACAATTTCTTTTTCTTTGTTTTTTTTTTCTTCTTTTTTTTTTGGGGGGGGGGGGGGGATGGAGGGGAGGGGCGTGTCTGTTTTGCAGACGCTCGTTGCAAAAAGCAAGCGCTACATAAATAGAATACAATACAATACCTCCCAAACCGACCGCTCCCGTTGTTACTCCCAGCGGTGGTCCCGCCATTCCCTCGCTCACCGCTTCTTGTTGTGCCTCACCGCCTCCACGCCGCCACCAAATCACGAGAGTCTGTAAATCTGTACTCTCTCCTTTCTTTTTCTTCTTCTTCTTCGGATTAAGGCTCACCTTCGTGCACGACGACAGCACCTGTGATCGACACATTTCATGAGTTGAGACTTTAAAGAAATAAGAAAAATTTTGTGTCTCTGGCCGGCTCCCGCTTTCGCACCACAGACTTAAAGCCAATATAAAGTAAAATGAATTAGATCCTTGGATCAAGTGGGAATTCCTTAGAAATGCCAATGGGAAATTAGTGGGGATAAAGGAAACCACCAATCTGTACAGCCAGTGGAACGGCCCAGGAAAAGCCAGCCGGTACTAAAAGTACCCTCGATGCTCGACTTACTGTCCGCCTCCGCTAATAAGGGCCGGTTGCACCAACGCCGCTTATCTTAACCGGCACGGGTTTAAATTCCGGTTGCACCAACGTTAAGCCGGCTTTACAGACGCGCCCCTAGCTAAACGCTGGATTTGCGTAGGGAATCTAGGGACAAACAGAGCGAACTAGGGAACGCTCAGAGGGACGAATACGATTGGCGGAAAGGAATCACGTAATGTGTATAAAAAAAGAAAAAAAAAAACTGCCGTAGTAGTAGTCGTTGGCGTCTGCTTTTCGCTGTATTTCTTCAGTGAGTAACAAATTAAAGGTCTCCAAATTCAATAATCTTTTCGTTTAACTTTCAATAACAGAAGTCAAAGCTTCAAATAAACACGAATGCTCTTTACATCTGTGATTGTGTGTTTAATATCGGTTGATAACAGGATATTTTGACAGTGGTAGTAGTTTTCGTGCTCACATTTTGAGGTGAAGGGGCCATCGGGGACTCTACTCGCTACATCGCTGAAAACAAAACATCATCGATATACACTCCGTGCGCGGCGACCGGCGCGCCGCCGCGCGGCCGTCAGAGAGGACAGGCCGCGAGAACCGAGCGACCGAGCGACCGAGCTGCCCGAGCAGAAGGAAACAGCGCGGCACCACCGCTTTCAGAGGCTTGCACAACTGCCGCCGCGACGCCCAAACTGCGCCGCAAACGCGCTGTTTATTGCGATTATGAATTGCTGCGTCGTCGGTTGTACTAATAGGTACACGTCGTGCCCCGCGGGGACGACGTTGTACAGTTTTTCAACTCGTCCGTGCTTCGTCGGGCAGCGGCAAGAGTGGATCAGAGCCGTGCGGCGGAAGAAGTAAGTTCCGCTCCGGATCTTGTCTTCCAATGGATCGTAATGGCGAACTTATCTTCTCCGTCTCGCGTTGTGTTTTGGTTTTTCTTCTGCCACTAACGTTTGCGTATTTCAGTGCCGACGGAACGGACTGGGAGCCGACCCGGCACTCACGGATATGCAGCGTTCATTTCGTCGGAGGTGCGTCCTCGAAGGATGTTTCGTCCCCGTCGTATGCGCCGACGATATTCCCCGAAGAGTACCGCAAGCGTTCGGTGCTCCCTGAGGATAAATCCGGACGCTACGAAAGGTGAGAACATTGTCAAATTGCCGTATTTGAACCTACTTGTTCCGGTCTGTCGGCTGCTTTTAATTAGCATCCTTACAGACGCGGCAATTTTGTTTTCTTTTCGACGGTTTCGGGGAAGCAGTTTTATGACGCTGGTTTCTCGTAGGTCGCGGAAAGATAATGTCAAACGCAACTGCTGCACAGTTGGGTGGGAATGCGAGAACAATTGCAGTGTTTGCTCTATTTAGAAGCCAGGAGCTTATTTGTTGGTATGCAGCCTCACTGTGATTAATGAGAGAAGTGAAGGTGTGATTTCTTTTTCTTAGATACAAGAAACGGAGGACAGCTACTGCAGCTCTGCCCCAGACCTCAACGTCGCTGCCAGACTTGCTGCAAGCTGCGCCACCAACAGTGGTGACCGAGGCTCCTGTGGATCTGCCAGCATCTCCAGCATTCGCACCAGAGTTTGGAGAACCTGAAGTCACTGGACAACATAGTGAAGCTCGTCATCAGGAAGGTGTGGAGGTAGGTTCTCCTCTGCTAACATGAGACTAAACATTTGAGTTTTGCTTTAATTGTAAATATTGTAACATGTCATTGCTTCAACTTCAGGTATCAACTCAAACATCATGGACATCAGAGCCCCAGGATCAGGGTGTGCTGATGATATCCTGCGTCTTCTGGACTGGTGTCTGCGAGGCATCCACCCAGGTTGCATACTTAGCGCACAAACGACCGACGACTGCTGATGCAAGTATCGCTGCGGTGTGCCTCCAGGATCACCAACCGAAAGGTTTTTATGGTTACCATTCTTTGGTGAACCACAGTGAAAAGGATGATGCTCTGAGGGACCTTACCGGTGTGACTGCCATGGTGTTCCTGGCATTGTTGAATTTGTTGTCAAAGGTAAATAGAAACTCACTCAAAGGGGTGACACAGCAATTTAGGGTTTGAAGTTTATGTGCATGTTAACACAAGCCTGAAGCAAGTATGTCCCACGTAATGCTACTAAGTCTAGAGTTTTCCTATCTGCCTAGTTTCAAGAGTAAATGCAGGGTACTTCATTCTTTCTTGCCTTCAAAAAGCTTGGTGGCAAGGTCATGCGGGTCACATTTGACAGACAAGAGGATCAACCTTTCAGTGTGTTAGCTGAATGCAATACATGGATTAGGCCCGAGCACTGCATTGTCACTTTGTTCGGGCTCACGTAAAATTAATACCTGACTGGGCACACCGTACCCAGCTTAGAGTCTGCGTCCAATCACCATGGACGGAAATCTCCGAGCTCCGAAGGCTAGCACATGCATTTTATGACGTTAGGTGTAGAATGTAGCTGGTGTGCAACGAGCAGATCCAAGTGCATCCTATGCGCCGCTTACTTTATTGCCATCTTCCCCAGTGCACGAGGTCGCAGCATTTCTTCCAGCCTTTCTCTTAATGGCTTATCGAGACAGAAGCGCCCCAAAGAAATTTTCGCTGCTCCGGCGAGCGTTCCAATGAGCCAGCTCATTTTCATGCCGACTGTATGTCTTAAATTTACCAGAAAGCTATCCTCATTACGAGAAAAAATGTTAGAACTTCTGAAGTAGCTGCACCACCTGGTTCTATTTGCTCGGAGCATGAATATCTTTAACCATGGTTACAAGTAAACCAAAGTAGGACATTTTAAGATTGTGACCGGTCGTGTAGGGATGCAGAAAATTGCCCCCCTCCCGCGTACCTGTACGGCCAGTCACGCGGTCTTGAAATCCCTCTACCAGGTACTTCGGATAACTTTTAAACACGGTTAAAGATATCTGCACTTCGAGCAAACGGGATCGGGTGATGCAGCTACCATACAAATTTTGAGATTTTGGCAGGTGCTCTCAATTCACCTGCACCGGTGCGGGAAGTGCTAGGCAGTGTACCTCCAGTGCGCGTTTTGGCATTCAGCTGAGAGTCTCTGTCCAATTACGGTGGACAGAAATTGCCTAGCTCCGAAGGCTAGCGCACACTGGTATTTCATTACGTTTAGGTGCAGAATGTATGCTTGCGGTGGTCTGTTGCAGACACACGTCACCTAGTAACAGGACGATGCTTGTCGTATTACAAGCAAACCCTGTGACCAAATGGATGTGGCTGTGGGGCCTAAAACAATAGATAATTGGACGCATGCTCTTTGTTTACAATGCTAAGTCATGTCACGGCAAGCGGAATTGTCTAAATTAGTGACTCCACAGCGGCTGTGCTCAGCTTCTGCGCCATCAGTCTAGGAATGAAAACACGTTAATTCACAGCAAAGCTACGAAAGATCATGCGCAACACTTCAGAAATGCAAGTCACATCTCAACAAATACTGCCCGTGCCAAAGCCTCTCTAATTCTGTCCGCATTCGCGACATGGTGAATGCTCGAGCCTAAACATAATGAGTCGACGAGAAGGACGCTGTCCCACAAGTTCAGCAGATTTGCACCAGTGCTGTAGTTAATGATCGTCGAGCCTGTCCGTGGGGATTAAAGTAGTCGCAGAACATTAGCTCTCACTCATCACAACCAGAGTCTGCGTGTACATCCGGTCTCGGTGTCTCATTACATTCGCCATTTGTACTTCTGCCATACGTCACTTTTCAGCATGGTTCTCAGACAGTCGAGATGAGACTGGCGAGCTGGTCGGATCGGTTGGGGGTTGGGAAAAAGAGCAGTAGGATTCAGTCGATCAGAGACAGAATTCGCAGACAACAGTTTTACTGTCGTAAAAGATGACAATTTGCTGGCAATTATTCTTATCACCACAGAGTGACGCAAGCTTCGTGTAGTAGTGAAGCCAAGAGCTAGTGGGCATTCAGCCATTAGAGTTTGCTAGATACTCTTGGCAGCTACAAGGGACTTCGGTTAAGATTTCACCGCACTTCGAGCAAAAATGTCTGGTCAAAGAAAACTTTATTCTGTTTACATAAAAAGTATTTTCGTTCCAGGTACGTGGGGAGCGATACTTGGATCTGGGTATGGAGAGCAAGCTCCTGCTTTTCCTGGTCAAGATGAAGCATGGACTGACCTTCTCTGCCTTGGGTGTATTGTTTGGTATCCACCGAACCAGTGCATCGCGCATCTTCTACACGATTCTAGATGTGCTCTATGTTAGTACGCAGGGATGGATCCAGTGGTTTTCTAGAGATGTTGTTCATGCATCAATGCCTGCATCGTTCCGGTCGAAGTATCCCAATTGTAGGGTTATCGTCGACTGCAGTGAAGTCCGGATTGAGAAACCGAGCAAAGTCTCCGACAGAGTGAACTGCTGGAGTAATTACAAAAGTGACTTCACGCTCAAATTTCTTGTTGGCATCACGCCATCTGGGTACATTACATTTATTTCAGATGTTTATGGCGGAAGGGCAAGTGACACTTACATCATAGCAAACTCTCGGCTGGTTAACCTGCTAGAACCAGGTGATATGGTTATGGCCGACAAAGGGTTTCCTCACGTGAAGTGCGACTTGGAGAGTAAAGATGTGACTCTCGTTATGCCACCATTTGCAAGAGCTAATGAACAGTTCACGGAGGCAGAGATGAAGGAGACATACAAGGTTGCATCTCATCGAATTCATGTTGAGAGATGTATCCAGCGGATTAAGAGTTTTGCAATCTTGAGCCAAAGGTTGACGCCAGAACTCAAATGCCACATAGACAAAATTCTACATGTATGTAGCATGCTCGCGAACCTGCAAGGTCCCGTCATTAAGACTCTGTGAGAGTTTCGAACAGAAATCTGTGCTTCCGATAAAGTACACAGTGCGCAAAAAGACAAAGACCGACGAAAAGGAAGCAGACAGGATGAGAGGACGAAAATTAGCATTTGTCGTGTTTGTTTCTTTTTCATCAGTCTTTGTCATTTTGTACAATCAGTCTTCGTCGTTTTGCACGCCGTGTATTTTATCGTAAGCGTGAACCAACTTGCCCACGTTGCCACTATGAATCAGAAATAAATGGTCACACACGTTTTATTTGTGATATTTCAACTGGACATTTGCACTTCGTATTCCATACAGAACAATTTTTCACATATCAGCACTACTCTAGCTGATTTAGAGGCTTTGCCGCTTCAGAACAGCTGGAAAATAGTGCCTAAAAAAAAACCATTCCAGCTTTGGCACAACTTTCTTCAAGAACGGCATGTCCTTCATTACTTTGACACACTCGGACCCCTTGGGTGAGTAGACGTAGAGGTCGCACACATTCGCACCAACAACATACATGCTGACTTGAACTTGTGTGTAGTACACATGGCTTTCTTGCAGCTTCAGCTTTTTCCCCTCGTATTGCAGGTAGTCAACGTTAATGTTCTCGTTAACTACGGGCTTGGTCTCGCACCTAGACGGACACTTGATCTCTAGGAGGCGGACTTCCCCATTCTCTTCCACCAGTCCGTCGGGGCTGCAACACCACCACGGCTGTGGGACGCACACAACAAGTCCTACTTGTATCACCTTTTTCTTTTCCGAGGACTCGTATTCTTTCCTGGCTTCCGGTTCTTTCGCTACACCGTAAGAACATGAGGCACTCTTGAATGACCGTGGTGAGGCAAGGTCTTCGGCCAGGGTATCGAAGTCAGCTGTACGTATTTTCACTCTGTGAGCCTTTGAGCTTGCAGAGATTCTTGGTGCCCGCAAGCGGTGCCATTGTGGGCATGCACTTTGAAGTATTGTCTCTTGTGCAATCTCTTTGCACTCATCCTCGCTGACCATGACAGCGAGAAGAATGTCGTCACATAGCTCCTCACTCAAAATGTCATCTGCGCCAAATATTACCCGCGATTGTCCGACACGAGGTAGAAGCTTGTTGAGACTTTTGAGGTTCTCCTTCACTTGCTCCTCTTGACGAAGCATAATGCCTAACGGGAGTTGGAGTTTACAATAGACGCTGGCACCGGTTGTCCCTGCAGCCTGCCATCCGGTAGCTTCGATGCAAACATTTCCGAGAATAGCACACCCTTGTTGTACATTCCAAGCTGCTTTGCCGATGGCCTCTTCCACACATTTGTTGTGGACGTCTTTGTGGAAGTGTCCTCCCTGTTCACATATGCCACCACTGCTGTCGTGTGCTTGCACTGGCCGCATATGCCACCTCTACAGGTGCAGTGCGCCTCTGTTATTCTCCTGGTGTTGTCCAGCTGATGACAAAAAGAAAACGTGGATGTAAGACTCCTTAATGTCCAATCAAGTTCATGCAACATTGTCATTATGAATATCATCAGCACTACACGTTCTCCTGTGCGCCTGGTCTTTTTCTCGGAACAAAAAGATCATGCTCAAAAATATAAAACAGCAGGGCAGAAAGTGCAGGAATTTGTTTTTGTTAGGTCGACCAAGGGTTGGAATGGGATGAGTGAGACAACCGTGCAGCAAATGCTGATACATTTATTTCGTTAATGTTCGCCTCCCTCGCGAAAATAGGAAGTGTGAGGAAATTGTCTTTGCAATTCTGATCGGACGTGCGGTCCGACTTTAGGCATCAGCGAAATGATCCCGCTTTGATAATAAAGGAGAGGTCACATTTCGCAGTGGGCTCGAGTCTAGCAATCGATCGGAGTTGCCGAGGCCCTACAGGTGCTGCAGAAGTTTTCTGATCAAATAGCAACGGGTCTTGAGGCTTTTGTGATCGTAGCACCCACTCACGAGATTTGTTTACCCATATCTCTCGGCGCTCGATACGATCGAGTCAGCTACGACGAGGAAGAGCTGGCGTGCACAGAAATCGGCGAAGAAACTAGAAGGCAGTTAAATGAAGGCAAGATAAACAAAGAAAGAGATTGTTACACACCGCAACAAATTGAAGTGAAACATTTCGCGAAAAAGACTCCGTGCGAATTGCCGTGACCCGAAAGGATAAACATCATTCCCAAGATTTCATCTAGGCATTCGATAATCACGAATAGCTCTGAGATTCTGAAGGAGACAATACTAGTAAATACGAATAAATAATTCTGTGAGCATGAAAGAACGCGCACTTACTTTGATCGTTATGGAGTAAGCTTCTTGACAGACGCTCGCCTGTCGCACACACCTTGCCCTCAGGACCGACGACGCCTTCGATAATCTCTCGTTAACGTCGAAGACGTGGCCACTCTCGTAGAGGTCTTCACCCTTTTTCGTAGTAGCATCGCGAAACATGGAGCCTACTAAGACGTCTTTAAAACCGGCTCGAAGTACCAAGCCTCCGACTGCGGACGTCTGCGCCGCCATAGCGTCCTGGTGCAAAGGGCGGCTGCAAGCGGCCGGACGAGTCTCGCGAAGCAACACCAGCTCCGCCGCCAGTGGCGCTGCCGTGCAGCCCCACCGCGCCCCCTATAGTTCCCGCACGGAGTGTATAAGCAGGCAGGTAAAATTATGACTAAAATCAAGTCAAGCCTGAGACCGATGAAGTTCAAAACAGTGACAACTCGCCACGGCAGCTGCGAAAATGCCCGGAAATCGTCGAATAGAAGTCGTCGAGAGGTCAGGTCACAAGACCTTGCATCCACGGTACTCGTTGCTATCAGCAAGGTGACAGAACTGCACTGTACCGTCGTTGAACATCCGCTGCAGCCTCAAACGGACTTCAGTTTCACACTGTCGAGTTCAGAAAAAAAAAAAAAACTCTCACTAGTACATCACATCGTGCCGATAAGAACAGTCGTCTCTTCGCATCGCCTGCCCCAGCCTGCCCCGATACAGCAATGAACGAATCTAGCATAGTAGTCGTTACGATTTGTCGTCGCCACGAATGAAAGATATAAAGCAAAATATTCCTAAAAAATCGCGATCACCAAAAAAGTTACGGTTATGGAACGATACAGTTTTCTGAAGCCAAGATTCTACTCGCGAGATTAGGAAAATTCACTGAAGATTGTCTCAAAACTCAGAAAACGAAAGAAATTGAATTTTCGTTGTTTTATTACTTAAAAGCGCCGCAATCTAATGCGAACGGCAGAGGTGTCGACAATCAGCTGGTCGCCGAGATCATGTACTGCCACTATTCAACGCCCTGATCGAATTGAAGGATACGCGCCGCAAGTGTAAATAAACAAGGTGGTAAATAACAATACGTTACGGTTATGCGAAAATTAGTAAGCACATACGAATAAGCTCGTTAACAGAAGAACCAACGGGAAGACAGACGTGAGCCCCGTGAGCCCCACAGCTCCGTACGTGTCGCGGTTAGGGCTAACACGCCCTGAGAGTGGAGAGCCAACTTGAAAACAGGGGTCAATAAACACTTCACGCGACAATATTTTGCATCCTTGTCACAATCGAAGGTCATTTTGTCGAGACTTTCACGCTGATGTAGCCTAAAACACTTTGCACAACCAATTTCGTCCACCACGTCGACCGCGACAAACCAGCCGCCATGTTTTTAATCCAGGATTAAGAAACAACCAAAAGTAAAGCGCCCAATGTTGAGCGCTTAAGTTAAGCGTAGTTTAGTGCTAGGTTTAGCGATAAGCGAGTTTGGTGCAACCGGACGAAACCGAAACTAAGCTTAGGTTCCCGGCTAAGCTCCGCTTTGCGCTAAGCGGCGTTGGTGCAACCGGCCCTAAGACACGAGTGCGCCTCACAGCGGGTCCGACGGCCACTGTATGGCAACCATGACCACCCAGCGCCCCCCCCCCCCCCCCCCCCCCCCGTCGCAGTGATCACTTTTATATAAAACGAGACGGGCGCGCGGACAGCACAGGGCAGCATGGCGCTGCCCTGTGCTGTCGAAGCGAAGGGCGTATACAGTGTGGCGTTCGTTGTTATGTGAGCTATTCAATCCACGTTCCTGGACTGTGGCGACACCGTTTTGTTATTATTAAAGTCCTTTACTACGTTGCGAGCAGTGCGTGACTTCCTGCTCGCTCTCTCGTCTCTCTTGCTCAACTGGAAACACATCGAAGTCCAGCGTTAGGCTTAGCATGTGAGGCGTAGAGTTTTAAACGTCAGCGCAACCAGAGCGAGCAAACGAGCCGGCAACCTTCTTTGGCGAAGCTGATTAGTGGTTACTGGATATAAAAAAAAATCTAGAAAACATCAAGACACCTTTCGTTTGTTCCTAATCCTAAGTCATCGATGCCCAGAGTTCCCACCCGTGCGTACCCGCCGTGGCCGTGGTAACGCGGAAACAATTTATACACGTTTTTTTTTAATTATTTTGGGCCTGTCTCCAAAATGGCCGACTGATAACTTCCGCTACAGATTAAAACAGCCAACAAGCACTGCATTCTGTGGGGATTGACTTCCCGTAAGCGGATTGAATGGAATTCGGTACTCTGGGAACATATAGTGACTCGAGGACAAACGCCTAAAGGCTGGTTCATACAGCCCCATTTTCTTATGTTACGTTATATTACGAAAGCTTACATACATGTCACCGAGACATATGTGCTTCCTATTAAGCGTAGCTACCAGTTCAATAAGATAGTCTGGCACGCGACATTTGAGACACGAATGTTTCGGGGACTTATACGAAACGTTAGAAAACGAAAGAAAACAGTTGTGTGAACCAGCTTTTAGCATGATTCTTATTACACTTTTGTCTTGTTTTCCGTTGAGATTTCAGGTTATTAACTCTGAAGCAAATGCGGCTTCTTTTCTTATATCGATACTTCAGAATTGTTTTAAACATTGTATTTTTATATTATTATGGTTTGACATTTTGTGCAGGTAGGGGATCACCACCGGTTTCTTTTTCTCCTTACTGCATTGTGTGGCCTGGAACCCCCTTTGCTCTCCTGAACAGGGTGCACATCACGTCTGACATTAGGTCTAACGGACACCCTGCTTTTCTAAGCCTGTCCGCTTGTATTACGAAACAGTCCCGCAAAGTGTGAAAGCACGACTTTTCGGTGCGTAGCCACACGACAGAGCAGTGCCCCTCCTAATGACTATTGAGTGAGCCGACCTGTAGCCCAGAATACGTTTTTGTTCAGAGTGGAGGATAAGTTCAAAAACGCGTACGTGGAAGTGCCCTATATTAAGAGAAGGGTCCAGAAACTGGACAATTCCTTCTTTTGTAATCGCAAAGGTAAACTTGAGCCCCCCCCCCCCTTTCCCTCTTTCTCATTTTCCCCCTAA